GTTTATGACGCTGTGGAGCGGTGAAGTTTGCACTGCAATCGATCAACGAGGTAACTGTGAAAGAGCACTTTTCACGGGGAGGTGAGTCGCCATGGTATTCTGAGGATCCGTCCCACAAGCTTGTGAAAGTTGTTCGGGAAATATACGCAGGCGGTGTGATCCTTTTCAATGCACCGATATCTGCTTACCTCGAGGAACGGACATTGGAACGCTTCCCAAGTGCAACAGAATAAAATGGCTTTTTGAGGCTGATGTTGGCGTCGAAGGACAATATTTTGCCAATATTTTTTGGATGGTTTGCTTTGAAATCGTTCACGGAGAGTGCCTTTGTAAAGGTAATGGCGACGAAACTCACGGAGTTTGAGCCGCCAACAGGACGTCAAGCAAAGCCCTGCGTTTTGAAGTTGGCCCCTGAATTGCATCCCAAGGGAGATGAGGGTTTGCTGCCGAGTGAATATGAAAAAACGATCCGTAAAATAAAGTACGGGGTGCTGTACAAACCGTGGGCCACAAACTTTCCGCTGGTGGACGCCTTTTTTTCTCGGTGTCCAATCCAATGACGGTGTTTGGGCTGCGGATGACTACGGCGGGTGGGCACCACACCACCGCCAGCACTGTGCGGCAGTTCACTGAGTGCCTGGCGGCATATTTTAGTGGTTGGGAGGAATCATCCCGAGACATGTCGTGGGAGATTATTTATGTGCAGCAGGCAGACAACATGCCGATGAATGGCTGGTGGAGATGTGATGTCGACAATTCCGACAATGTGAGCGACGAGAGCCGTGAGATTCGGTGTTCTGGAAGGAAGAGGTGCGCCAGTACCAAGTGTCAATATCGTACAGAGACTTTAGAAGAGAAGAGGCTCTCCGAAGTGTGCAAAAACAATAATAATAGGAAAATAGATTAGGAAATTGAAAGTGAAAGAGTCATTTTGATTTGTGGTAAAAAATATTGTGGGATTTATGTATTTTTGGATGCTTGTGTCTGAGCATGCGGTGCGGGT